TGCTTTGGAGTTTTGTTTATGGTGAGTCTCTAAAGCTGGTTTCTTCCTTCTACAGCCAAATAAGCGAAGGGCAATATTTTGCTTTTAATGGTATGTTTATTGTGGAATTACTGCCAATCCCAGTGTACCTGTGTGCAAAGTGTCTAACATCTGTGTGCTCTGCTAGCCTTCAGCTTTCCACATAAAGCAGGACTATCCTTTTTTGCATCTCAGGAGCTGAATTTACGGCGCGGTAACTCCTTATATCCACTTTAATGGTCTGGTGAAATTCTGTTAGCAAAATACCTAATGAATGTTGCGATTCAATCAGAGCAATCTAGAGTGTAATGTGTGGAGCGGTGCCAGCAGTATATAAATCATTAAACATCAAAACGTTAAAAAAAAAAAAAATCCCTAATCATCACCTTAACTCCAAGAGCTCCTGTAAATGGCAGGGGACGAAGGCAGGGGTGGGCAGCGCAGGCGCCTGGCTGGGACGGGGGCGGTGGCGCACTGGGGTGGGATGGCTCGCCAGCTTGGTTCCCTGTGCTTCACCAGGGGGCATTTTTGGATAACATAGATGCTGTAGCACGGGGAGGGGGTTGTTCATGTGCTCTGGAGTCCCCCTTGCCCTTGCAAATCCTAGAAAGGCAAGTTATTAATTAAAGGGGTGCTTTAAATAATATGAAGGAGAGTAGTCATTGCAGGTACATTTTCTGTAGGCAGTTTGGTTTTCTGCTCCAACTCTGTTTGCATTGTGAACTGGGGACTGACTACACTCTATTTTGGTTGTTTTGGCCCTGGGAACTCTTGCAGAAAAAAACAAAAAAGGTGCAGTTGTGCTCTTGAAGCCAGGATTTTATAAAGATAAACGGTCTAGAGGTTTGGGGGTTGGTTTTAGTTTTTAAACAAATCTCTTGAAAGACTTCCTAATGAGAGGCAAACCCAGCTAGCAAAAACTATGCATTTGCTTTTGAAAAGATTGAATTGGAGGGGAATCTCTGGCTTTGGCCATGGATCCGCTCTGCTGGGAGAGGTTATCTGCGGAGAACAAAACCAAAAGTAATTGGTCCTGAAATACAGACATGTTTGAAAGGCACCGCGGGCTCGCTGGGAGGTTGGAGTGTGATTTGAAAGACTAACGCAAAATACAGAATGATAACATTCCTGACGGTATATATAGATATACACACATATACACACACATACATATATATACACATCTATATATAGATAGGTATGTGTATGTGTATATATATATATATATATGGATGACCATGTGAGATTTCAGCGTGGGGGTTTTATCAGCACGAGTCTGATTCTGTGCCCGTTTGCTGTTTTAGGATCAGATGAGGTATTTTGCATTCACTCAAAAACTGAAAATGGATAAGCAGACTGGACGCAGACATCTCAGCCCTCACCTCTGCTGGCAAATGGTTTGCACTTAATAGTCACTTAAATAAGAACAAAGCCACAGAACTCTCCGTTACGGAGAAATACTTTCTATTAAATGGATGCTGTCTCGGCTGGACAAAAGCCTTTGGGAAGGCTGGAGGAGATGAGCTCTGTGGAGCCCAGGTAAGGCTCCCGGGGAGCAGCCCCTCAGCCCCACCAGTGTGTGCCCATCTGCTGCGCATCACTGCATCCCGGCTGCCGGGAGAGGAGCCCGGTCCAGCCATCCTTGCCTGCAGCTTCACCAGTGGTCCACGTTGTTGCCCAGCAAATCCAGCGCAGGGATCTCAGCTGGAGGCCCCCAGCCGAAAAAAAACCCAAAGCCTGGCAGCTGCTGCTGGGCATAGCCAGGGGGAGAGAAGGGAGCGGAGGGGAGAGCCATTGGTGGGTGAGCGATGCTCAGCCGGATGCTTCCTACGGCCGCTGTCCCTCCACTGCAGGCTGCTCCCCCCCCCCTCCTCCAGGGATACACCCCCAGATCTGCTCCGGGATGGATGGACAGATGGCGGCGGGTGCTCAGCTGTGCCCAGCGCTGCCTTCTCTGGCCTGCGGAGAGCTGGCTCGTACGAGGCTGCTGGATGCACTCTCGGAGCCTTACAGCCAGCCTGTTTCTACAGAGGGCTTGTGAAAGACTGTGGCGTGCAAATATTAGGCATGGCAGGGTGTGAAACGTGCTGTTTGCAGGGCACGGGGCACGCACAATGTGTGCCCCAAGTTTGAGAGGTTTTTGGTCTCCCAGGTCTGTCCTGCAGACCGTCACCTAACACTGACTTTATTTCTTTATCAAACCAGTATATTTTAAGCCTGAAGCATCGTGTTATCTCTCAAGAGAAAGTAAGATGAGTCTGGTTTTTTAATATAATTACAGCTAGGAGTTTTGTCCTGCAATGCTTGAGTCTGGGGATATTTTAAGAGCTCTGCTCTCTTGTGCTGGGAGGGAATACAATAAATATGTAGACTGCTTACAATAAATAGGTAGTGCTGCTGCTTTGAACGCTAAGGAAAGGGTCTGTGCTGAACTGACACTGGCTAAAAAATTTGTTCAGCCTAATTAGCAGCAAATCACTTGTGTGTCCAACCTTGCTTGTAGAGATGAGCGCCAATTCCCCCCCCCCTTATCCCCTGCTGCCCTTCGTGGCTTTTCCGTGCCCTCTCTGGCTGAGCAGCTGAGGGTTTTTGCGAGGACGGCAGATCTGCATCTACATGTCATTGCAGAGCAATGTGTGCAAAATGGCATTACTGGAAATTCGTGGAAAACTGTACGCCCACCTTGGGCTTTGTCTCGGACTGTTCAAGCTGTCACCGGAACCGGTCGCGATCGATCAGCTTTTAAATTTCATGAAATTTTAATTAAAGTATGGAAAGCCTACGAAGGCATTGTAGGACAAGAGCACTGGAAACAAATACAATTTCACTTCCAACCATTAGCCAGAAAAGCAGCAAATGGTTGACTGCACATCACCATTGCAGTCTAATGAAAAGTACAGCTCTTGGCTTCAGCGGGCAGGTCATTAGTGACTGAATAATCAGTGACATTTCCCTTCTAAATCTGACACAAACGAAGTGCAGTGCTCTGGAAAAAGCCATTAAGTGCAAAGCCTTGCCTTTACTCTGCTCCAGGTATTGCAGAACAAGATCTAATGGCAGCCTTTAGCTGTGATTTGGCTTTGGTAGCATCCACAGGATAATAACCCCCCGGTATGCCAAGAGCCAAATGCTCCCAGCCTTGCACAAGCACGGTTCCTGCCGTCGTGGCATGCAAAAACAGAGAGTGAGACTTGTTCCTTGCTGGTGTTCACAGATGCAGCCGGTAAAAGATACAGGTAGGAAAACCTATAATCTAGAGTACTGGGCAGCTGAAAGGTGTATTCTTACGTCTGAGAGGTTCCAGGAGGTAAAGGTCTAGCTTATCGTGGAGTCAATTTAAAGCCTGACATCCTCCTGTGAATTCCCGTGGCAGCTCCCAAAGCTGGGTGTTAACCTGTTTTTCTGCAATTTTTTAAATGTTTTCTTGACGGGAGTGGAAAGCGAGCGGCACGGCACAGGAAAAAGGAAGGAGTGGCCTTGTTTATGTCTGTCCCTCGACTTTCTCTGAATAACGTGTTGTCAGATGGACGGAGTAATCAAATGGGTGTTAACTTCCTCTGCTCCCTCCCCATGTGCCACTGGCTTTGAAAATAATGCTGAAAGGTTAATAGGAGGCAGGCTGCCTTCCAGGGGGTCCCTTGTGTTGAAGCAGCGGGTCTTTAAGAAGGATTTTTTGGGGAACGAGATCTCACGGGGGAAACTTTTCCTAGGGAAAAGCATTACTGGGAGCTGGGTTGGGAAGCACTGTTGTCTTGGAAACTCTATGCTTTGGAGCTGGGTATGTCTGATCTTCAAAACTCCTTTTTCTTTATGGACCCCAAAATAGAAGTTGTCGATGCAGTCAGTGTATCTTTTTTCAATGGCTCTGATTTATATTTAGCCCTGTGTTGGGACGTTCCAGTGCAGTATTTTTGGTCATTAGCTCTCCTGGTTGTGTTTGGGCTAAGGGTCTACTATTCAGGGGATAAATCTGTTTTGGGTGTAGTCCTGTCAGTTACAGCCTTACTGAAAACACAAGTGACCACAGGTGAAAGTGGATATAAAATAATGGGGTAAAAAATGGCCCGGGAAAGTTCCTTAATGGCTAACTGATTCCACTCCCAGCCATTGTATAGTTAGTTCCAGCTGAAGGCTCTTGATAGTTTTATCGCTTAAAAAGGGCATGGTGATAAGATGTTGTTTCAAAATACAAAGCTTTATTACCCAGCAAAAGTTTCTTATTTATATATTACATTTATAGTGCATCCTTAAGGTCCATATCCAAACACGCATTTATATAAGCATCCAGGCAGCTATTGCCATGTGATATTCTTTATCCTGCTGTGTTTTGGAGAGGTTAGATTCCCACAATCCCTTTGGCCGTTAAAATTTGGGACTCTCTTCTGCAGCTGCTTGTGCCCGCCCTCATCTGACTGCAGAGCAGCATCCACCTTGCCAGCATCTCACTTTCCATCACGTGGGGGTCATCCAGGAGATGCCCTGTCCCATCTGGAGAAGGCCTTCAAGATGCTGTCCAGGGGTTCTCCCAAATTACCCACCTGAACGCCCTTTGATGTGTGCTCTTAAAACTCTTTCCTTTGTATGCCATAAGGAAACCAAAGCAAAGAGCGAGGCGGTTAAAAATACTGATATTCCTTGGGTTTGTCATGGCTTTAACAGGCCATCGCTACCAGTGCTTTAAGTTCTTTTTCACTTGACTTTGTTTCCTTGCTGCTCACTCCAGCGGTCGCCATCTCACACACCCAAACTACTGGAGTTACAGAGAGGTGCAGAATATTGCTCATAAAATTAATGCCAGCAGCTGACTCCACTTTTCCAAGTATATAGTGAAGAAGAACTACCATGCAACTTGTTTTCTGTGTGCTTTCATCACAGAGAACCAGGTCATATTTCTCTATGACCTGGAAACCCAACCTAAAGAGAAAAATGGGGGCAGCTTTTTAATTGTAGTTCTGCAACTTAAACTGGGAACCCTCTCACCGATGGGTGCGTGCTGTACCACAGCTCCCTGAATCCATGTTGTAAGGACTGTGGAGGTCGGGGAGGTGTGAGTGATGAGCATCGAAACCCTTCAGAGCACAGAGGAGAAAGCTTCTCTCTCTTTTCCATCCGCAGGTGACGTTGTGGACATCTACCAGCGGGAGTTTCTCGCCCTCCGGGACCGACTGCACGCAGCTGAGCAGGAGAGCCTGAAGCGCTCGAAGGAGCTCAACCTGGTCCTGGAGGAGATCAAGAGAGCGATCTCAGAGAAGCAAGCCCTGCGGGATATAAACCGGACCTGGAGCAGCTTATCTGGTGAATAAACAGAGAAGTTGAGGATCTCGGGCTGTTGTGAAGCTGTTTTGATGAGGAGGTAGAGAGGTGTGCGTGCGTGTGCATGCGTGCAGGGCTGCGGACAGGACGTGCTCTTCTCTCCCCCGGCACGAGCACATTGTGGAGTCCAGAGGGACTTGGGAACTCTTGAACTCCTGTTTAATTACAGGTGCATATGCATCATTAAACATTGAGATTTGCCTCTGCCGAGGATATTTGCCGATTTGCTTGCTTACAAGTTGGGGTTTTTTTCTTGCAACTCGTGTATGCCGTTTCCTATAGCTGTATTGAATCCGTATGGAAAACGGGTATCCAAAGACAGGAGGGAGGAAGGAGTTAGGTTGGCTGAGCACCCCTTGCCAATTTATTTGTTCGTTTGTTGTTTTTTTTTTTAAGTTGCTCAGTTGAAGAAAATTGGATCTCTGCAGAAAGATCCAATTTGACCTTCATTTGATCTTCATTCTCCCCACTCCTTCCCAAATATTTTGGGACTTCTTTAAGGCCCTCATGGCTCCTGCTGGACTTTAATTGGGTTTGTGGGAGCATGTTAAAGGTTGGCCTGATTTTTTATAACCCAGCAGTAGTCTCGGGTGGCCAGGCTGCTCTAAAAAGGCTTTTCGCCTTGCAGTCTCTTCCTACCTACCGTGCCTCGCAATTGATTCCCTTTTCCTTTTTAAGACGAAACCAAGTTAAAACTGTGGAATATCACCAACAAGAATGTGCTGCACCTTCCCACCATCTTCCATCATTTGCCACATTTGCTGTCAAAGGAGAACAGTCTGCAGCCAGCCGTGCATGTGGGACAGGGGCGCACTGGAGGTAAATGGGAATTAGTGCTGCTTCTGGTGCCCTTCCTCACCTTGGTGCCTGTCCCTCCCCTTTCCTCCGGGCCTGGCTGTGGTACATGAGCAGGACTGGAGGAACGGCTGCATGCATCATGCAAGCTTCTTGGTATGGTGGCACACGGGGTGGGTAAGCCATGTCACATCTGCGAGTCTATTGGGGAGTGCTGTCTGTGCTCATGACTGACACTAAAATGTTCTCGATGCTTCTGCCAGACGTTTTTTGCTGCTTTTCATCTCCAGAGTGCTCTAGAATTTGCCTGGAAGCTGGTCAGATGAAAGCACAGTTTGTAGGGTGCTTCATGGAGACTCGAGCCAGTCTTAGGCGACAAATCCCATCTGGAGTAGGACTTTAGGTACTAGATGATTCCCCCCTGCTCCCAAATCCCAACCTAAAGCCAAAGATCTGACTTACCCCTCCCAAACTGAGGTGCTTCTGGCCATGAGAGGGGTTTGGAGAACAAGGGTGGTCTTGAAGTTGACATTCACAGGCTGAAAATGCCCCTAGGAGTGGGAGGGAGTTTGGGTGTTTCCTTAGTCATCAGTCTTTCGGGGAGAAAAGGAGGAGTCTATCTGACTGCCACAGGTGCCCTGCCAGCCTGACGCACTGGGGTGCTGCTGGTCGGTACTGGGCTGGGGGACAGGAGTATGGGAACTCTACGTAGCCTAAGAACCTGCCAACCTGCTGATCACTGCTGGGTTTTAATGACGGAGCATAGTACCGAGCAGGTGAACCATGAAGCGATCATGGGAGCGAAGCAGTGTGTCTTGTCCCAGCACACCCCCCCTCTCTAAAATCTCTCCTTGGCCCTGGGCAGTGTCTGTGGTGATGGGAATCCCCAGCGTGAAGCGGGAGGTGCATTCCTACCTCACCGACACCCTCAACTCCCTCATCTCAGAGCTCACTCAGCAGGAGAAGGAGGACTCTGTCATCGTCGTCCTCATCGCTGAGGTAAGACAGAGCTTTGCCTGTTCATCCCGTTTCCCTGGCCCCCGCTGTCTGCCAACCGGTGCCCAACAGGACGGTTGCCCACCTGGAGGCCAGCTCTGCCGCTTGCCGGGGCAGAAAAGCCCAGCCTTGGGCTGCTGTCCAACTGGGATCATTAGATGCATCCTGCCCAAAACGAAACACCGATTGGGCCAGAGAGGGTCAGGACGCGAGCAGGCAAACATTGGTGGCCGCCAGTGCAGCAGGTGTGATAATCTTTCTGGTCTAAATCGCGATGGCTCTTGTAGGGTGTTTGGGTGGTTGTTCCCAAAATGTGCTGGAGCAGTCCGGTGGACACGTCTGGGGGAGCTCTCAGACCCGCTCCTGAACCAGCTTCATTTCTCCACATACCTTTAAGACAGCTCTAACCCCCTCTCCAAACCCAAGAGCCTGCTGATTTGGGGCTGAGCCTGATATGATGCCTCTTCGTACTGGTGTCTGGAGCCCAGAATCAGTTGCTGAATCCAGGGGCTAAAAAGCCTCGATACATTAATCCGCAAGAGCTGCTTTTATCTATGGGTTTAGATGGTTATTTTTCTCCATGGCTTTCCCCTCAGGATTATTTTCTTGAGCTTGAAGTGCATTTGTCTTAATTTCCAGAAATCTGGTGAGAAAGATAAACCTCAGTGGCATGTTACTGGGAGCGGAACAAAGATAAATGTCTGCGTTTGCTGCCTGTTCAGCCATCATTTGACATTTTGCATAGCATTTGACTTTTGGGTCTCTGGCTGGTATTTTGTACAAGGAGAAGGTGTGCACAGATGGATGTAGCCCAAAGTGCCCAGACAAGATTTGGTCCTGGCCGTTGTTTCCCTTTGAGCCAGGACAGGTTTGGTGGCTGTTTTCACAATGACTGAATTAAAGCATGAGAGTTTTTAAGTAACTTGACCGAAAAATCTTCTGTTTAGGACTGCAGTAATATATATATTTTTTAAGTGGACTTGAAAATAGGGTGCACGCTGTGATAGCGGCACCTGACTTGCCATGTGTACCTGTGGTAACAGAAGCGAGCAACAGAGAAATTAATTCTGATGCCGTGAAGTGCAGGAGCACACGTGCCGTAGCCCCGTAACAGCAATGGTAGTTGTTGCAGATCACCACCACCGTCACTGTCCTCTCTCGCTAAGCTTGCCCTTGTAGCTACACAACGTCCTCCTCCCGTGCGAGTGTCAACCACCGCTGTGCCTCCTCTGCCTCTTCCCAAAGTGTTTCTGAATGTACCGGCACTCAGCGTTGCTCGTTAGGACTCTTCAGAGAGGGGATAAAGAGTAAATAGTGAAGAGGTCATATGAACCTGGAGCAGACACTGGGTAATTTGGAGACTCAAGACAACTCAGGAGCAACTGAATGTCCTTTTTGGGATGGGGACTTCTCATTTCCGAGTGCCACCGCTAACGACTGCGAGTGTCATCCACAGTGGCTGGGGCTGCCTGGGGGAGCCGGGGGCTCCTCGGCTGGCAGAGGGGAGCCCCGGGGAGGGCTGGCCAGCTTGGCTGTCACCAGCCTGCTGTTTCGGTGGCAGCCAGGCGCTTGGAGCAGAGCTCTGCATTTGCTCCCAAAGCCAGGAGCATCTTTCCTGCCTTTGTTTTTCCCATTGCTGTTTTCTTGGCAGCGCCGGGGTAAGAAATCAGTCCAGCACTGGGAGCCTGAGCCCTGGTTGGGAAAGGGACCTTTTTCCTCTCGAGAAAACCCTCCCTTGTCACCGTTCCAGTGTGGAAGCGCCGGGCTCAGCTTGTGACATACATCCCCGGCGTCTCACTTCTCACCTCCGCCTGGCGCCGAGCGCAGCGACAGCCGGTCCCGCCTTCTGCAATGCTGCGTCTGCAGATCCGCCCGGGACACGCGGTCCCGTGATCCCTACAACCTCCCTAAACAATGCCGCCACCAGGAAACAGGCACAGTTTTTGCTCCTGGGTCTCCTGCCCTTTGTTCTTGGATTTTTTTTTCCTGGTCACTGTGCAGATGGTTTCTGTCCGGTCCCTGTCCCTGTTTGCACTTATCCCGCCAGCGGATAGCGGCGCTGCTGACCTTCGCCTCCCAACTGTTTCAGTTTCCCAGGTTGACTGTGGGAACAAACTGTTGTTTTAGGAAGAAAAGCGTCGAAACGAACCTGAAATGAAAAATGCACGCTTATAAATAGACCCCTTTCTCACAGAGGGGATAGAGGTCCTTTTCTGCTGAGAGTATTCGCGTGGATGAAAGCCAGCATGTATAGAGAAAAAAAAAACCAAAATAGCCCAGAAGTTAACACTTTGTGCAAATGCTTGGTGCTGGCAGGGCAGAAGTGCCAGGAGAGCACGTGGGGAAGATGTGCAGCGTCTTGAGTCCTTTGGGGTGGTTTTTGGTGTGTGATGCTTTTGGTTAACACTGGCCATAAAGCAGGGCTCCGAGGAATCTGTCAGCACGGGTAGGGTGGTTAAACTGGATAAAAGGAGACATGAAGATGGTATGGAGGTGCTGACACTACCCTGGGGTGTGCTGAAGGTGATTTCTGAGCCACAGGGGGCACAGGCTGAGGCTGAAGGACCTAACACTGCTTATCGTTTGTTTTCAGACGGATCCACAGTACACAGCCGGAGTCGCAGAAAATATCAGAAACCTGTAAGCCCTTCCAAATGACTACAGCGGTACGGTCTGTGCCTTTAGCAAGGCCAGGGAACGGCTTCATTAAGGAGAAAATACATGCTCTTCTGCTTCCCTTTTGTATTTTTTTTTTGTTTCTCTTCTTTTTCTGTTCTTAAACTCCGGGCTGTCTTTGCTATTGCCGCTTCCACTTTCTGCTTGTCCTAAAATGCATCCCATATGTAGCTTCCATTAGGCTGCTTTGTGCTTGCAGTATTTAACACACGAGATCATGCCGTTTCATTTTGCTCTTTCTGTCCTGTGGCATTGAGAGAAGATGGATTATTCAGATTTCCAGTGATCCTGGCAATTGTTTCCGTGTCTAGTGCAGCCCTCTACCTGCTCTGCAGAGTCAGAGCAGCTGGGCAGGGTGGTAAGCACACTCAAATGCTCCTGCCTTATTTTGCTTTAAAATCCGTGATCCATTTTTCATCCCGCTCCAGTCTGTTTGTTTTTCCCTTGTTCTAGGCGCTAGTTACGTTTGTCTCTCGTGCTGGCTGCTGTTTATGACCCGACATCTCAGTGGCTCTTGCAGCTTCGTTTGTGGCTGTTTAGGCAGAAGCCGGTGACGGATTATTAACCGTGAGCCGGTCCAGGCGTTAACAGCATCAGAGCTCGGAGGCAAAAGGAAAAGGTGGTGAGAGAAGAGGCTGTGACTCCCGTCCAGCTCCTGCGACTGCGTGTTTCCAAAGGATCGCAGTCGCCATAAGAAGGAGATGCAAAAGGGCAGCACATCCTCCGGGCGCCCCGCGTCCCCGAGCCAATGATGGGAGAGGGGCTGGGACGCGCGGGGAGGGTTGTGTTCCCGGGCACTTGCAGAAGAACTGAAACAGAGCCCTCCATCTTGCTGTGCAGGAGCTGGCAGAGCTCCCCTCCTTCTGCCTGCTGGCAGGAGGACGCACTTATCGGGGGATAATGGACTGATTGTCCGATGGATCCTGATGAAATTACTGGGCGCTGCTGCAGAGAGTGCTTCTGCGTAGAAGGCCTGAAACTTTAATTGACTTAATGATGTGATTTCTCGCCGTCCCCCTCTCCGGTGCCTCTTGCCCCTCCCTGATTCACTGAAATTATTTTTCTTCCAAATTGAATTGAGGTAGTGTGGGGCCAGGGCAGGCGGAGCTCGTACCGCAGGAGGGAGAAGGCTGTTGCTGCTTCAGTGCAGGTTTTGTCAGCTCAGTGAGAAGCTTCTTTTCCACTCCTGCCCGAAGAAGGGAAGGTTTGAAAATGTTAGCTGAAAATCTTGCCGGTCCCAAGAAGGGAATAGGGAAGGGAAAAAGAAGAGAAGTTTTTGGCAATCTCGCTGCTTTGTCTCCCTCTGCCCCATCTCCTGTCCTCCAGGCTCTGCACAAACAAAGGAAATCAGCCTTGCACCAAATGTTCTCAAAAAGGCAGTATAAAAATAACTGGTTTTCCCGCTTATCTCTCACAGTTACAGCAATCTCTGGGTATTGCTTGCAAGGCTGTTGTAGGTACATATTTTTCAGATGGGTGACATTTTTTTCTGTTTGAGTTTGACTTTTTAAAGGGTTCTTAACCTCATTATAGGGAAAATAGATGCTGATTTTTATCAGTGTAAGAGAACTAGGTAGAATT